TAGAGTATTCAAGTTTAGAGATGGTTTTTTCATTAGAAAAGTTTGTGCGGTCAATGCGAGAACTAGGGCTTCCAACCTTGCTCAGCCAGGACTTCATGGAACTGACTTTGTCTTCCGGCCCCTGCACTTGGCCTGTCACGGTGCCTTTGCTGGTGTTCTTCACCCAGCCAACCACCCCTATCTTCTTAGCTTCACCTTCTGTATACATTCTGAAGCAAACACCCTGCACTTTCCCGAACACCTCGTAGTCCACGGATATGAGTGACCGGGCTGTAGACATGGCAGCGGTGAGCCCTCTGCCGAGGAGCCGGAGCGGGGCTCGGGGCGCGGCGACTGCCGAGACAAGTATTTTTAACTCTTCAGTATATTTCTCCTATGATTTACCTCTATAACATGCTATATTGAAAATTCTTTATTTTCTCTTTTAGATATTACCTCTTGACTTCTTTTCATGAAGTGAAAATTTACCTGTTCCCATCCTTCTGCTCTTCTCTCAATGTGATTATAGCATCATAGTTTTTGGTTCAGTAAGTATTCAGTGCTTCCATCACTGTCCATGCTTAGCAGCATGGCATGCTGCTATGACAGCCTTTTATGCATTTCCTGTCCACTTTTCCTGGAGCTATTGATTGCCATGGTTTGTAGTGATTTATCCCCAACTTTCCACCCAAACTCTGATAACCAGTCAACTTTGCTTTTTTCATGGAGCCCTGCACCACTCTGTAACCTGGGTAGCTGCTCTTCCAGCCTGCTGCTTGGTCCTTCTTCTGGGGTACCCTCTCACCAGCATCCTAAGAATTTCCTTCCACTCTCCCCTGTGAGGACTCTCCTACTTACTGGATCCCACGTGTAGCAGGCAATTTTACTGGGGATGCAGAATCACTCTGAATGCTGTGGGGTAAGGAATTCACTATAGGAAATAGAACTTAGGCTATTGTGCGAGCAGCTGGGAAAAAGAGGGCATTACATTCTAGATAGAAATTTATTTTTTCTCCCTTTTCTTTTCTTTTCTTCCTTCCTTCCTTCCTTCCTTCCTTCCTTCCTTCCTTCCTTCCTTTCTTCCTTTCTTCCTTTCTTTCTTTCTTTCTTTCTTTCTTCTTTCTTTCTTTCTTTCTTTTTCTTTTTTTTTATTAATTTGGGAGAGGATCTCCCAGGCTGGAGTGCTGGGGCACAATCGTAG